TATTTATTTTTATTATTTTTTTTTTTGCGGAACTGGGGATTGAACTCAGATCCTTGCATTTGCCAGTCAAGTGCTTATTCCTACTGAGCCATCTCCCGGCCCCTGTGTTTTCAAATATCACTATCTTATCAGACATTATATATATCATAGAAAATAAAATGTAATTTTCACATTCATTGTTTACTGTTTTTTGTTTATTGTTTGTTTTGTTTTGGATTATTTAAATACTGTTAATGAGGCCTGGTGAGGTAGCTCAGTGGACTAAGCTCCTGCTCAGACAAGTGCAGTGACCGTGGTTCAATCCCTGGCACCTCATGTAGCAGTGGTCCTGTCTGAGGGCATGACAACCCAGCCAACGAGACCTGCTGTGATGGCGCATGCCTGTAATCATAGTTTTAGGGGGGCTGGAAACTGGAGAATTGCTTAGTATGAGCTGTGCGGTGAGACCCGGTACCAAGTACAAATAAATAAATAAATAAATGCTGTTAATATTGGCACCGTACTGAAAATCCAGATGAATCCCACTGTGTTGATCGCGTTGATTTTCAAAGACTCCTCCAATCTGAAGTCTATTCATGTGCTAAAACAGTGCAATGCCCAGCCCTGTGGCGTTGGTGGGGCTGGCGGTGTGCCGTAGCATCCATGGAAGTGAGTGCAGGAGTCCTCAGAAAAGCAAAGACAGTCATTCCATGTCATTCAGTTAGATTTTTTTTTTTTTTTTTTTTTTTTTGGCGGAACCGGGGATTGAACTCAAGCCTTTGTGCTTGCCAGGCAAGCGCTTATTCTACTGAGCCATCTCCCCAGTCCCTTTTTGTTGGTTTTGAGACCTGGTCTCTCTGTAGCCCAGGATGGTTTCAGACACACAGGATCCTCCTGCCTCGACCTCCTGAATGCTGGGATGGCTGGCACACACATCCCACCAGTGCCACCCCTTGGCCGTATCCAGCTACACTTCCATTGAAACTGTCCCCCACAGTGTTAAAACTAATCATATTTTAATGGTACTTCAATACCCATTTGTAGCAGCACAACTTAGAGAAGGTAAGCTCTGGAAAAAGCCTAAATGGCCATTCACAGATGAGCTGATTAATATATTGTGGGAGAGCCTGGGCATGAAAGGGCACGCTTGGAACCCAAGTACACTAGGAAGCCAAAGCAGGAAGGTATCTAATCATGCTCAGCCTAGGCAATTGAAGGTTGATGAGACTCTTTCCAGATAAATGTATAAAAGCATGTGAGTATGTCTCACAGCTGGTACCCTAGGTTCAATTTACCACACCAAAAGCCATGTGATGGGCACAAAGTGGAAGAGGGTCACCCACAAATGCGCCAAGTGACGGCACTCGCCACAATGGGGATGGATCCAGAGCCCGTAGTGGTAGGTTACTGAGGCAGAACTTTCAGTGTCCCCAAAGCTTGACTCACAGAGTACATAGAGGACAGCGGGAGGACAAGAGAATGCAGACACTTGGGAGTGGCTGAACAGGCTCGGGCAGGAGAGGATGGAGCCAGAGAGGACAAGATGGCAGACATCATAACTACTGGGAACTTGGCGCATCACCATGGATTACACATAAGCAGAATGAAGGTCAGGGCTGTGTTTTGTGGACGGGTCCATCCCAGACTCGTAACAACTCCTAGTTGGGTAAAGAAAGGCTGTGTCTTTACCCAAGACATCATTCAGGGTGCGCCGTGGGGAAGCTGACAACATACCTCTCAGGAGCATCAGGCCAGAGCTCCTCGTGGGGAATAGTACTAGAGGACACAAACGTGATTGGTGGGTTTGTTGAGGGGGGTTTTGGGTTGGATTTTTTGCAGTACCAGGGATTGAACGCAGAACCTTACACTTAACAGGCAAGCGCTTACTCTACTGAGCTCCCTCACCAACCCGATTGAGGTTTTTCTTCTTTTGTAGAAGTGAAGCCGGAGCACGATCCTGTGCATACGAATTATGGTGGCCACATGGAGAGATGGGTGCTCAGAGTCCAGCTACACCCGCGCACCTGACCGTCGTTGTTGTGAGTCCAGGCGAAAGCCTTTCCCCGGGAAGACCCCTGGTGGGGCGGTCAGCAGCACATGGACGCGTCCTGTCCGACGCGGCACTCGGACCACACGAACAGCGAGCCTTTCAAGAGAAGCTGTCTACGTGTAACGAACGTGGTAGAAACTACATCCAGTCCTCTCAGGGACATACAAACACAAGTCCTGAAGGGAAACCCCGTGAATACATGCCCTGTGTGGAATCCTACCACTCTGATTTCACTGATGAAGGTACCATTGCAGAGAACACGGGTGTCACTTCGGTCATTACAACCAGCAATGTTGAAGTCAGGGGAACAGGTCACCGTGAAGTGAATATGGATATATGCGGACCATACGGAAGAACTTTGAACTTTCCCTGCAATGTTCAGGCGCCTGAAAAAGCTCAGTATGGAGAAAGTACCTGTGTGAAGAAATACGGAAAATCCTTCCCCGACGATGCTCTTGATAATCATGGGAGAAGTCACACTGAGGAGAAACCTTGTGAGTGTATGCAGTGTTGGAAAACTTTCAGAACACAGCGCAGGTTTCAACTACATGAAAGAATATTCAGTGGGGAGACACCCTATATATGTAAGCAATGTGGGAAAGCTTTTGTCACACATCATAATTGTCCGTGCCATGATCGGACTCACACTGGGGAGAAAGCCTGGACATGTGTGCTGTGTGGAAAAGCATTCCGGAGCAAATCAGGTTGGAAGATACATTACAGCAGTCACTCAAGGAGACCATACGCATGTCAGCAGTGTGGGAAAGCCTTCAGCACTCCTCATTCCTGTCAGCGGCATGAGCTTATTCACACTGGAAAGAAACCCTACAAATGTAAGCAATGTGGAAAAGCTTTCTTCACACATTATGCTTGTCAGAGGCATGAAGGGACTCACGTTGAGGAGAAACACTATGTATGTAAGCAGTGTGGGAAAGCTTTCAGAACACAGGATACATACCAAATACACGAAAGAATTCACAGTGGGGAGAAACCCTATGCATGTAAGCAGTGTGGGAAGGCCTTCAGATCACAGGGTACGTGTACAATGCATGAAAGAATTCACAGCGGAGAGAAACCCTATGAATGTAAGCATTGTGGCAAAGCTTTTCTCTTACGTGGTCATTGTCAAAGGCATGAACGGACTCACACTGGGGAGAAACCCTATGCATGTAAGCAGTGCGGCAAAAGTTTCAGTGATCGCCAGGCTTGTCAAAGCCATGAACAGAGACACACTGGGGAAAAACCATACGCGTGTAAGCACTGTGGCAAAGCTTTCAGCGAACGTCGTTCTTTTCAAAGGCATGAAAAGAGACATACTGGGGAGAAACCCTATACATGTAAGCAATGTGGGAAAGCTTTCAGATCACAGAGTACATGTAAAGTGCATGAAAGGATTCACAGTGGAGAGAAACCCTATGAATGTAAGCATTGTGGCAAAGCTTTTTGCACACGTGGAAATTGTCAAATTCATGAACGGACTCACACTGGGGAGAAACCCTATGCATGTAAGGAGTGCGGCAAAAATTTCAGTAAACGCAGTGCTTGTCAGAATCATGAACAGAAGCACGTGGAGAAGCACCCTGTGTGCATAAGCAGTGCAGCAGACGTTTCCATGAATATGGTGCTTGTCAAAGGCATGAATAGAGATGCTGGGGTAGAACCCTTATGTGTGTAACCATCCTGTAAAGCTTTAGTCACCCAGATTGTGAAAGATATGTACAGACTCACACTGAGGAGAAACCGTTTCCATGTAGGCAGTGTGGGAAAGCTTTCACCACACATTTTTGTTGTCAATTGCATGAACATATTCACTCTGATGAGAAACTTTATGTGTGTTTTATGTGGGAAACCTTTCAGCAACAAAGTAGTTTGGATCATTTTTTCTTTTTGCGGAGCTGGGGATTGAACTCAGGCCCTTGCATTTGCCAGGCAAGCACCTATTCAACTGAGCTATCTCCCCGGCCCCAACAAAGTAGTTTGGAAGGGACATGACACACACTAGGGCTTAACCATATACATGCAAGTAATGGGTAGTACTTTCGTAACATAGTTGTCAAACACGTGAAACATTTCACACTGGCAGAAACCCTATGTACGTAAGCAACAAGGAAAAGCTTTCAGCACACACTGTGCTTGCAAAGACATGAAGGCACTCACTGATGAGAAACCCTAGGTGTGAAAGCAGTGTGGAAAAGATTTCAGCCCAAAAGATAGGTGGGAAATTTGTGAATGGACCCACACTGCAAAAATCCTATGTATAGGCTGGGAGATGGCTCAGTAGAATAAGCGCTTGCCTGGCAAGCGCAAAGGTCTGAGTTCAAATTCCTGATTCTACACACACACCAAAAAAACTATGTATATAAGCTTTGTGGAAAACCTTTCGTTACAAGTAGTGTTTGTCAAATTCATGAATGGACTCGGGACGGACCCTGTGCAAGGAAGGGTGATGCCTGTCAAAAGCATGTTCAGTCTCACACAAGGGTAAAGTTTATGTTAATGTGGGAAAGCTTTGAGCCCAGAGAATGAAGTTCATGAAGTCACGCTGGCCAGAAACACTGTAAGCAGGGGGCCTACCCATTAGCTCAGTTGTTTAAGTGCCTGGTTAAACAAAACAGCCTCAGTGAGCTGTGGTTCCATACTCAGATACTCAAGCCAATCCAGACCAGCGCTGGAGGCAATCTGAGGCCACCAAAAAAAAAAAAAAAAAAAAAAAAACTGTAAGCAATGTGGGAAAGCTTGTGACCAAGACAATAATTATGGACTAAAGGAAAAATATAATGGAGAGAAACTCTATGTATGTAAGGCTTTCAGTGTGTGAAAACCTCTGGCACAGAGATTGTGAAGCATGTAGACAATCTCGTGGGGAGGAGTCCTCTGTGTAACCAGTGGGAAAGTGCTCAGATGACACAGGCATTGTCCACAACATTGATAGAGGGGCCGGGGAGATGGCTCCGTAGAATAATCACTTCCCTGGCAAGCACAGGGGCCTAAGTTCAATCCCCAGTTCCGCCAAAAAACAAAACATTGATAGACTCACACTGGAGAGAAGGTGGACCTAAGGCTGACAGCATTTGGCACAAAAAGGTTGTCAAGCTGGGGGCCTGCCCATTAGCTCAGGTGTTTAAGTGCCTGCTGAAACAAAGCAGGCTCAGGGTGCAGTGGTTCAATCCCTTCATCCTCAAGCCAGACCAGACCCGCCCTGAAGGCATCCTGAGCGCTGCCCCTCCCCCCAAAAAAGATGGTCAAGCTGCTTGGAGGACTGTTGTCTAGCAAAGATCCCACATATGGAAGTCTGGGAAGATTGTCCCCACACATTGTGGTTGTCAGACATGGAAGAAGACACACTGCAGAGTAACCTGCATGTAAGCGTTGTGAGGAAGCCTGTAGCTCCTTCAGGGAAGGATTACCCTATTGAGATGCTATTCTTTTTTTTTTTTTTTTGGCAGAACCGGGAATTGAACTTTCCCTTAGGCTTGCCAGGGAAGTGCTTATTTCACTGAGCCATCTCCCCAGCTGAGATCCTATTCAAATGGAAGCAATATTTGAACCCCAGCATGCTGTGCCTGCCATACCCCCGGGGCGGGGCGAGTTGGTCACTGAGACTGGGCTTGGTGGCACAAGCCTATAATCACAGCGCTCGCTTGGGAGTGCAAACAGGAGGATCACTGAGTCCGATATGCACGAGACCCTGTAGACCCCGCACAAAATACAGTAAAAAAAAAAAACAAAACAATGTGAATGTGTTCAGTACAGAGGTGTGTTCATTAATGTGTGTGTGTTCATGTACAAAATCACAAAGTGCCAGCAAATACGCACAGTTATGTCTCAAAAATAATTTTTGCATGAACAGTATATTTGGGGAAATATAGCTGCCTGGAGGGACAGGAGGGGGACCCTGAGTGGGTGGTCCCCAGAGGTGTTTCCAAGTACATGAAATAAATTACACTTGGAAGAAAGTGTAGGAGCGGGGAGATGGCTCAGTGGAATAAGCGCTTCCCTGGCAAGTGCAAGGGTCTGAGTTCAATCCCCGGTTCTGCAAAAAAAAAAGGAAGAAAGTGTATAAAAACTATGGAAAAGATGCTTTACTAAGCATTACGCAAATTGGGAAGAGTCAGTGAAGCATCTGGAGGCTGTGCATGAAAGGAAGTCCTGGGGCTCGCTCCCACCACCCTACATCTCTCTTTTTTTTTTTTTTTTTTTTTTTTTTTTTTTGCGGAACCAGGGATTGAACTCGGGCCCTTGCCAGGGAAGCACTTATTCCACTGAGCCATCTACCTGTCCACCACCCTACATCTCTTGAGGATGGGATCAACCTCTCTACATTGGAACGTGGGGTCACAGCCTGGCTCCAGGCCTTGGGAATAGCACAGAAATGCCTGCTGAGAAACGATCTCAGTGAGCTGCCCCTGTACATACCAGCTGACACCTTCATGGACAGCAAATGGGGCCTGCTGAGGGACGCTGGTTCCCTCCCTAGGGGACACACAGCACCGGATGAGGTCATCCCGCAGCGTGCAGGGTAACCCTCATTGAGGTGACACTTGGGCGAGGTGAAGTTTATTCTGAAAGGGACAGCTGTCATTCCTAGCATGCTCCATGGTGGTCACCAGACTAAAAGTCAAGTTTTGCATGTTTAATGGACACGTGGGTTTATGAACAAGGAGAATATGCGGCGTATTGTATTTTGTTGCTGATTGAGGCCTTTCTGTTAAATATTTAGTCCCCGAGGCAATAGGAACACCAAAGAAGACTACACGAAGGGAAGTATCTTTTAGAAAAGAAATAAATGAAAACAGCTATGTCCTGTATAAATATTTCTGGAAAATGTTTGAAGACCTTTCACATACAAACATGACCAAGTCTGTTCTTGGTTAAGGAAGATGCATGGCCTGTGGCCTGCTGAAAGGCCTCCGCCTCCTTGGTGGGGCTAGCATCCCCTCAGCCAGGTCTAGAATGGGCCTCGCCTTTGCTTCAGGAAGGGTCAGACTAACACAGGGTTTCCATTCCCCACCCCACCCCAACCAGGGATTGAACCCGGGCTCTTGCTCTTAACAGGCAAGTTCTTACCCTAATGAGCTATCTCCCGGCCCAGTTTTAATTTTTGTTTCAGTTTCTTTTTCTTGATACTTGAGACTGACCTCAGGACCTTGCACTTCTCAGGCAAGCGCCTGTGCTGCTGTGCTATCTCCCTGACCCCCAAAAGGATTTATTTTTACCGTATAGCACCTATTCATATTGATTTATGGGGAAGAGATTTATTACAAAATTGAAATTTAAGACTTAATTCTAGGCCGGGGAGATGGCTCAGTAGAATGAGCGCTTGCTTGGCAAGCACAAGGCCCTAAGTTCAATCCCCAGTTCCGGGAAAAAAAAAAAACCAAAAAACTGCTTGTGAGTCTTCAGAAGGTGATGGAGTAGGTTGTGCTTATGCCTCAGTATCCTCCAAGGCCACCCGCTGTCTGGGGAGAGCTGTCTATCCAGAGGAGTTTGAGTGTACAGTTTGTGGTTGGCTCGTGGTCAGTTCTCAGATTCAATTTGTGAGTGCTATGCCCACCCTGGGAGGGGTCCCGTGCATGCAGTACAAGCGACAGGAAGGCTCTCCTGCTGCCCCTGTACCATGGGCCACCATGCCTTGGAGCCCGCTGATTGTGGACTGAAACAGCTACAATTTGTAAGCTAAGTAGACCTTTCCCCTTTAACTCCTGTATTGGACGTTCTGTCCCAGCAATGATGGAACAGGAGCTAACTCAGGCATTTATTGTGCAATTGACCTACAACTATATTTATACTGATGGTTAACAAAGCCAATGAAAACGGAGAAAAGAGCTTGCTTTCCAAACTGCAATGCGTGAGACTTATTTGGATCTTCATTCATGCAAACTTAGGGAAGAATGCAAAAAAAAAATTAAAAAAAAGAGGGGCCGGAGAGATGGCTTAGTGGAATAAGCGCCTCCCTGGCAATCGCAAGGGTCTGAGTTCAATCCCCAGACGCTCCTTCAGTCCTTGCCCGCCCTTGTAAGATGTTATAAGAGGAAAACAGAGCTAATTACAAAGAAGAATCCCGTTACCATGGAAACCAAGAAACTATGTCAGGAGAGGAAGCCAAGAACTCCCCGCTGTGCTTCTGATCTGGAGGGGGCTTGGATGCGCACTCACGCTATCTGGGCGTTCAAGATCTGTAACCTGGGAAAGGCCCGATGGCCGGCTTTATTCATAAACTCTTTTGGGGGCTGGCGAGATGGCTCAGTGGTCTAAAGCACCTACTTAGAACAAGCTTAGCAAAGCACAGGGACCGCGGTTCAATCCCCAGCACCACATGCCAGCCAGCCCCGCCCCCTGGTGGGCTGAGCTGGACACAAACACACGCACACACACAAATAAAATTTTTAAAAAATTGTGTTTTGTCCAATTTTCAGTCTAACGTGGAAATAATCTCGCTGTTTCATCAGAAGTCAACCAGGCTAACCTAAAATACTTATCATGAAATACGCAGTATTGGGCTGGGGAGATGGCTCAGTGGAATAAGCGCTTCCCTGGCAAGTGCAAGGGCCTGAGTTCAATCCCCGGTTCCACAAAAAAAAATGAAAAGAAAGAAATACACAGTATTCAGTCAGATTAAACCAATGTCCCATTCAGTTGTGGATATGGCCCATATTGTAAGCAAGGGGCACTATACAGGGATCTATGCTTTTTTTGTTTTGTTTTGGCAGAACCGGGGATTGAACTCAGGCCCTTGTGCTTGCCAGGGAAGTGCCTGTTCCATGAGCCATCTCCCCATTCCCAAACATGTTCTAGTTTTTGTTATTGTTGTTGTTTGTTTGTTTTTGCAGAACTGGGGATTGAACTCAGGCCCTTGTGCTTGCCAGGGAAGTGCCTGTTCCATGAGCCATCTCCCCATTCCCAAACATGTTCTAGTTTTTGTTATTGTTGTTGTTTGTTTGTTTTTGCAGAACTGGGGATTGAACTCAGGCCCTTGTGGTTGCCAGGGAAATGCTTATTCTACTGAGCCATCTCCCCAGCCCCGGGATTTATGCTTTTTTTTTTTTTTTTTCATTGGCCAGGGAATTGAATCCCCAGTCCCTGCGTCTGCCTAAGCAGGGGCTTTAATCCACTGAGCTATCTGGCCAGCCCATTGAAATAAATGTTTTAAGGATAAGGATTTTCTTCTTGGAGTTTCAGGCATACGAGCTAAGGAAACTTTGAATACTGACTCAATTTCTTTTTTTTTTTTTTCCAAAATTTTATTGATAAACAGCAATGAGACAGTTTCAAATCAAATCGCTAGGACAGTTTCAATAACTAACACACTGCATATATTCTTCTTAGTGGTTAATTGCTGTACAAGATGCGGAGTTGAGATCCTATTTACAAACAACATTAGAACAAATCATTCTATTCATTAAGTGAATGTAACTATATATCTATCCTAACCACTCTGAATACACAGATACAAAATGGACATTCATCGGTATACCCCATTTTTTCTGAGTTCCGTTATTGAATATTATAGGTGTGTAAACTCAGCAAAATATTCTAAAAGAGTCCAGTAGCCCATAATAGCATTGGGTCTTCTGTTTAACTGGCAGTGTCAGAAATTGTTGACCTGAGTCCCCCACAGCTCAACTTAACAGCATGGCTTTACTTCCTATATTTCGTCTTCATACTTTTCTACTGGATGGTTAAGACCAAGGTAAAGCAGGACCTGTGCAACAAGAGTTGTAGCTTTTGGGTCTGAGAAGGTCAGTGAAATCCCCTCAGGATTTATCCTGAGATCCCGTACCTCAGATTGTAGAACCTTTGTCAGTGTCAGCCATGTGGATGAGTCACGGCCATTGCTTGGCCAATGTGCTCTCTGTGAAAGCCTGAGAGAGTGTCTTCTCCCCATGTGACTGTCCTTAGGCACACTTACATCATCGATCACTTTCCTCTTTGGCCCCATAATCTTGTTGATCAGAAAATTTGCTACACTACTGAGTTACATGACGTTACAGTACAA